TGATATTGCAATGTGTGGTTTGATGAAGACTACGTCGAGGTCAGAGAGTATGAATTCATTCTTTAATACCTACTCAAAAAGTGGAAATTTACTTTTGAATTTCATGATGAATTACGACACTGCCATTCAAAAGCAAAGGAATACTCAACGAGAGCTTGATAAGGCATCAAAGAAAGCATCATATAAAATGCAAACACCTCGAGAAATAAAACTACAAGCATCAAAGGTTTATATAAGTACATTATTTTTTGAGGTGCAAAAGGAAATATATAAAGCAAGTTTTTTTCTGTACATACTCGTATGTTGGTATTGAAGATGGGTGGGAAATTTATATTGTGCAACACAACAACACTAAAAGCGAATTTAAAAATGAATTTAAGGTAATTTAATAGTTTTTTTTATGAAAAATGTAATGTTTATATATATTCATATATGAATACTTAGATATGATTGTTCATATATGAGTATATGAATGTACATGTTTAATTTTTGTTTAAATTGTTTTTTCATTTTTTTATTATGTTTTTTTATCAGGTTGGAATAAAAGCTGAAGAGAAAGAAATAAATTGCAGTTGTGAACATTTCAAGCGTATGGGTGTTTTATGCAGACATGCTTTTACAATAATGATGAGATGTGGTGTGAAATAAATTCCTGAAAGGTACATTCTGAAAAGATGGAGAAAGGATGTGATATCAAGAAATTATCGTTTTAGTTCTCTTCAATCTGATTCAGGGGATTGTGAGAATGTGAAGCTAGTCAATGATTCATATTATAATTTTGAATCATGTTTGGATATTGTAAGAGATGACAAAAAGAAATTGGCTTTGTTTGCTGAGAAACAACAGATGTTGTTGAAGGAATTTGAGAGTGAGAGTGATTGTACATCTGCTGGATTGAGAAGCAAGACGGATGGTGAAGTCGTATGCAAGCTTATGGGTGTTTCTATTCCTATTCCAAAAGAGATTAATATTCATGTTCCTCAAGTTCAAAGCAATAAAGTTTCTGGAATCAAGAAAAGAATTCGAAGTGCAGGTGAAGTAGTATATGAAAATTCTAAAAAAGAACATAGAATGTGTTCAGGATGTGTAAAACGAGTTCCTCACAATTTACGTACATGTCCAGTAAGAATTGCAGCTGCTTAATCAACAAAAGACATTTAGGGTTTTTTTTTATGTTTTTTGGTTTTATTCATTTATGAATATATGAATATATGCATATAATAACAATAAACAATAATATTCATGTATGAATAATACACATTTATATTGATATGGTAAATTGAGATTTGAAATATATGTTCTTTTAAAATGAATATATCATATTTGTTTTTAAATAAGTTATATTAAATAAGTTATATTGATATGGTAAATTTATATGTGAAATACACATATTATTTGTAAATTATTCATAAATGAATACATAATATGTTGATTCATTTATCATTGAAGATGTTGTTATTTACATATTAAAGGTGAATGAATATACAATGTTGGTATTCAATTATGAATAAACTTAAATAAAATTGAAAACTAGTATAAATGAATATAAATATGTGAACTTTGTTATACTAATAAATAAGTTATATTCATATCTGAAATTTTTTATGTTCATATATGAACTTTGTTATACTAACATATTACTCCTAACTTAATCATAAATGAGTATATCATATTCGTATTCATTTATGAATAAAGAGAAATAAAATTTGAAAATATATGAATATAAAAAATGACAGAAATAAGCTAACTTGTTTCTACTAATAAATAAGTTATATTCATACCTGAAATTTGTTATATTCATATATGAACTTTGTTATACTGACATATTACTCCTAACTTAATCATAAATGAATATATCATATTCGTATTCATTTATGAATAAACAGAAATAAACTTTGAAAATATTTGAATATAAAAAAATGACAGAAATAAGAAAACTTGTTTCTATTACACAATCATTCAACACAAGATAATAAAACTTGTTCATAAGCATTTCACAAACTATTTAAACGATGTTCAATAACATTTAACAAACCATTTAAAACTTGTTTCGTAGAATCATCTTACATGTACTTCAAATTCATTTATCTTCAACACAAACTATTCTATAGCATCACACTTCATCACAAGCAATCATCAATATTCTTTTAACCTTTTTTGAATTGTTTGCATAGCCTTGTATGCATGATCGGTACACACTTTGAATTCAACTTTTTGATATTTTTCATCAAGATCCAACACCTTAGCCTTCAACATGTTAATTTCAGAAGTTAGCATTCGGTGTGCATACCTTTGCCTGAGCTTCTCTAAAGTAGTTTGTTGAATTGCACTTTCTTTATGAAGGCCTGGTTTCCACTTTGAGAGTGGTTGTCCCATATAGGTCTCCATATGTCTCGTTGCAAACACCCCACAATCAACTTTGTTTTTAACTGTTCTCCATGGCATTTCAAGTCGTTGGGGTGTGATACTTTCTTTCGAGATTGCATTTGCTCTTGGATGGTTTATTTCTTTAAAGTATCTCACAAACAAATTTTTCTGATAATTAAATAAAATAAAAGTTAGATATGTAATAAATTGGTTCTTTTATGTTATTGTGAATTGTGTACATACCAAAGGTTTCAATAGTACTCCGTATTTCCCTTCATAATCCCCCTCAATTGCACTGTTGTTCAGAATTTCAATTGATGGTTTCTTTAAGTTGAAGACAATCACAAAAATGTGAGCACTTCTAACAACTGGAAAGAATACCTATTTTTATGTATATAATGGTAAGTATTTTGTTGATAAAATATATATATAAAAAAACAAGTTTAATTAACATACCATGTCAATATCTTTTATGTTCAAGATTTTTTTGTACCCATCGGTACTGTTATGAAAGTGCTCCTTGAATTTTTCGTACTTTCTTTCATCAGACAATGTTGAAGTTAGATAAGCAGTTTGTAACCAATATAATTTTGAAGGATTAGTAAATTGTTAATCATAAATGAATAGATCATGTTCGTATAATAATCATAAGTATATAGTAAAGATATTTATTTTTGATTTTTTTATTCAAAGATGAATACATAATCATATGTGAATTTCAGTTGAATATACATAATCATATTAAAGAATACATCATATTGGTATAATCATATGTGAACTTCAGTTGTAAAAAAATATAATATTCATAAATGAATACATCATATTGGTGTATTCATTTATCAATAAAGAAGAAATTAAGGTTAGAACATAAACTTACAGAAACTGCAACTTTCAAGAAGAGTCTGTATGGTGAATTTCCAAAATCCCTTTCCAGTTCTTGGTGGTTAAGTAAATCAGCCCAAGTGTCAAAAACTTCTCCAAAAATCTTTGTGCTTGCATATAGACTTTCCATAATTTCTCTTTTTGTTATCTGACCATATTTTTTCTGGACAACCACATCTCTGCAAATATATAATCAAAATGTCATACATTATTATCTATATAATAATCATATATGAATCTCTATAAAATAAAGTTACTCACGATGTATTCCATTGCAAGTTGAACAACCACGCACAGACAATACTCTCCTGATGTGTCAGTTTAGGTTTTGTGTCTATTATTCTGCATTTGAAAGGTGATTTGAAAGCATCGACAAGCTTCTTCTCCCTTGGTTCATCCAGATCATGCTTTGATGGTCCTATGTCAGTAGGAATTGCTACAGAGATTGGTTTTGGATTAAGAACATTTTTGTTTGCTAATCTGATAACAACCTTGTGATGGTCGTCTTTGATTTGTTTCTTTGTAAGTGGTTTTTTTGGTGAAGATTCATTGGATTTTTTACTTGAAGTTTGATATGAGTCTTGACTGAGACCTAGACTAAAACTTGGATGAGTATCTGCATGCCAGGAGATTTATCATATAAATAGTTGTAAGTTAATTATAATATATTTTTATATTTTGAAATGTTTTTCCAAATTGTTACCTCCTTCATTTCCTTTTGTCTTGTCAGCTTTTTGTCCTTTTTTGTTTTCATTTTCTGACTTTTTCTTTCCTGAAAGATAAAGAAATTTGATTAAGTAATTCATTTGTGAATAAGTAATGTATTCATTTATGAATACGTAATGCATACCATTATTTATGAATAAGTACTACTATATTTTGTATTTATTCGTATATTGTGTTATTTATTTGTGAATAATAAAACTTATTATATTCATTTATTAGTGAATCAACTATTTACCTCTATCTTCTGCATTTCCTTTCTCAATTTCTGTTTGTTTATCTTCACCTGCATCTTTCGTGTTCTTAGCTTCTGCTCCTCCTTTATTTCCATGTTCATAGTTTTCCTTGCCTAAACATATACATCATATATGAATATTTTATATTTTTTACTCGTTTATATAGTGTATTATTCACTTATGAATAAACAATGTTATTTAAACAATCAATATAAATATTGTAATATATTTTAAATCATTCATTTACCTGTATCATCTCCCTTTCTTTTTTCAACTTCTTTTCCTTGTTTATGTACACATTCTGATTTTTCCTTTTCTTCAAGATCCATTTAATGTTATTTATTAAATATAATTAATTAATGAATTAGTGAATAAATAATAGGTTGATTGTAACATACCTTGAATAACTTGACTGATCAGAGTATTAGTTTTACTTCTAGTCATTGGTGACCCTGGTCAAAATTTAATAAACAAAATTGTTATCGTGTATTAATATTTTTACATATTTTTTTAAAAATAAAAGTAAGACAAAATTTACCTATATCAATATTATCAAAAATAGTTTTCATTTCAGGGTCATTCCAGATTTTATCTTCTTGACTATTTAAACTTGAAAATCCAGTTCCAAGGACATTATCCACAATGTTGTCAACAACTTTATCCAACAAATTTTCATTTTAAGTTTGTTGAATAGTCTCTTCATGATTATTTGTTTCTTCAGCATCATCATCTTTTTTCTCTTCATCATTGTCATTTTCATTGTTCTTTCCATCTTTCTCTTTTACTTCAGTTTCACTTTCTTTTTTTATTCTTATCTCCATCATTATTTATTGCTTCATTCTCTGCTTCATTTGAATCAAGCAAGTAATCCACTTCCGGTTGACTTCCATCATTATCATTTTCTTCTTCATGATTTTCTTCTTCATCTTCATTTTCTTTTTGATCATTTGTTTTTTGACCCATTATTGGTGTCAAATTGATACCTTCAACTCCAGTTTCATTACTTGGAAATTCAAAAAGTGTTGTGCTTTCAGTTTTTTCTCCAACAATTATATTTGTCATCTTTTCTTTGAAAATCCTAAAACTTTCCTTTTTAGGGAACTTTGTTATCGCATCATTGAGATTTGAATTCAGCTTTTCCTTCATCCTCTCAAAACTATTAAGCATTTTAGATATTTTTGATTCATATGCCTATGTAATAAAAAGAAGTATGATTAGAGATTAATATAAGAATTTAATGTAATCATATATTATTAACATGTTCAAACTAATTACCTCAACATAATGATATTCATCTTTATCAGAATCACTGTCTTCAAGATCTGTATCTCCTTCATCTTGTTCATTAACAAATTCTTCATTTAATTCTTCAAGTCCAAATCTACCTTCTTCTTGTTCAAATGTCTCTCGATATCTAATCTTCTCTGAACTCCAATAACAAATTGTTGGACGTTTACATGTTATTGTTAAATCTTCTGAGTGGATGTTATCAGCATAGAACAACTGCACATAAATGATAACTGATTAATATTCATATATGAATAACTAATGTAAAGAATTACATGTGAACAAGTATATTTTTCTTATTCATATATGAATATGTGATATTCAGTTATGAATAATTAATATTATTAAAAATTGAGTATAAACATTATAATAACTTACCACCAAGAAAGCTGAAGGTCCAACAAAGTAGCTGTTATCTGAGTATGGTATGTATGAGTTCTTTGTTTTGACAAGACAGTCCAAAACATAGCTGCACCAATCTATGTTGCTGATATCTGTTTTTCTTGAAATATAACTCAAAGGAAACAGGTTGCATCTTCCCATTGATGTTGACTCACAAAATTTGTTGACAAAAAGAACTAAGAAGTTCAATTTGAAATTGAAATCAGCTTCTGTGGTATTAACGATAACTTTTTTGATCGCATTCAATCGGATGATTGATCCTTCTTGAAACTGTTGCTTCCATTCATCATAACTAGTATCATCTTTAGGCCATTGATCAAGTTGTGTAAGTATGGTTCCACTTATTGGAATGCCCAACATGTCATGAACAGACTGTGATGTTACTTTCAGTTCCTTTCCTTCAAAATCTATCAGCATTCTCTCAGAATCAAATTTTTGAAGAATATAAAATCCCAGCTTCAGTGGTATATCTGTGATTTTCATTTTTAGCAAACTTCCAAAACCCATAGATCTTACACACTCTTTTTGTTTTTTGCTCAACCCAAGGATTATAGATAGTAATGCCTCTGGTGAACATCTGTTTTTCATCGAGTAAAATTCCTTTACCACTAGTTTTTTTTCTCTTTCTTGATTGGTGACTCCTTTTTTTTTACCTTCTTTGATGGACGACTACTTTCAAAATCTGATTCTGAATCATGTAGTTGTCGTTTTTCAGGAGTTTTCCTTTTTGATGGACTTTTTCTTCTTTGATGCTTTCTTTTCTTTGGGTGTTTTTGTTTCTTTTTTATCTGGTAAATGAAAACATATAATATTTGAATAAGTTATTGACATATGAATATGATATATGCTCGTTGATTTATGAATATTTATTTACTACAAAAATATAACTAGTATATACAATTTTATTCATATATGAATATATTAGATATGATAGGAATTTTGTACCTTTCGCATTTTTCCTCTTCAAATCTGTTTCTATCATTGTTGTGGGGTCTTTATCAGAAATACAAATCTTCTTACCTTCATGAATTAGTGAGTAGAATATAAATAATTTTGGAATACATTTTACAAAGAAAATATTTTATATTCATAAATGAATAAATGAAGATAACAGTTATATATATATATATCTATATATATATATATATATATATATAATTATATATATATATATATATATTGTCACACCCCAAAACCGAAACGACGGAAACGTTCTGGGGCGGAGGACTTCATGTACAGTATCACAACAAAGCATAATAGTAAACAAGCAACAACATCATCCACTGCATTAATAACATAATTTTAATACAAGCGTGTTCTGTATAGTTTATAAGACACCAAAAATATGAATCAAAATAAGAGATGAGTCTTGAATGTTCTCCATCTTCTCAAAAGCTTCATCGGTACCTGTCTACTGATGACCTGAGAATACAAGTTATTTTGAAAGAGTTTATCAGCATTAAAGCTGGTGAATTCATAAGTATTTAGTGCCATGGTTTGTATGAAAATGTTTGTAACAACGTAATGTAAGTGTTTTTGAAATGTTTGTAAAAGTTGCAATTGTTTATACTTCCTAGAAAATCCTATATTTTCTACTGAAATGTAGTCCTTTACCAAGACCCGACTTTTGTATGTTTGTTCTTTTGTAAATGTATGAGTTTTCCCAAGTATAGCTATCATTATTAAAATATAGTTTACATTAACATTTATGTGAGAAGATCACAAAGTAAATACAATAGGGAAAATAACGTTTTATCTCAGCAGTGACACTACTGACTGTAAAGTGATAAAATGAAGACTCCAAGTCGTATTAAATGTACTATACTCCTTGGGGAGTCTTATTGCCTTTAATTCTTATCCGATTAATTAAAGGTTTAGATGTGAACTAGTTTGTAACCATGCTGATTGACGACTGAATACATGACGGCCTTTCAGTGTCATAAAATAGTGAGGTGACATTTTGTCACCCCTTGGTCTTACCGGTTGGGACTGTAGCTAGCAGTCGGGGTGTGGGAGTGTCTCTCCCGTATAGATCTATACACACGATGCCCGCTCTCCCTCCAGGAGACTCTGGTTATAATACGATACAACAATGCCTTGTTGTATCCGAAAATAGTATTTCACATTCTAATTATCGTATTCTAATGTTTGTGTAGTATATTCTCCTGTATGGTATAGTGTTAGTTCTCTTAGTTTCTCATTATAGTATGTTCTCTTGTATAGTGTATAGTATGTACTGTTTCTCGTTATAGTACGTTTGTAATGACTCATAAATGTACTGACTATTGTATGTTTCGTTGTACTAGTAATAGTGAGTAGTAATCTCTTAAACTATACCTATTATAGTTTACTAGTAATGTTGTTTGTATGGCTGAGTGTTTTGAACTGAAATAACAGCTTTTATGTCTATACATATATACAAAATATATAACTAAGGATCAAACGACACTCGGACAAACAACAGGGTACTCTAAGTCCACAACCAAACAAGGAACAGGAAATAAAGTGAGTTATCAGTTCTAAGTCCTTCAAACCTTACTTATATAACTATGTATGCATTAGACATGGTTTGACAATATATACATTTGAAAAGTTAAAAGAAAAAGGTTTGGCATATAAGAACAAGTTTCATAAAGTGTTTATTATGTAAAAGAGTTTGATAAACATTTTGAAGTAGTTTGTTTGATAAAGCAGTTAAAAGTATAGTAAATCCATTTGTTTGACAGTTATTAATCACATGTGATTGATATAATAACAATAATGTTTCAACTTGTATCCCCCCCCCCCATGAAAGCATTTAAAATCATTTGAAAGGTTGATTAAGGGGTATAAACTCACCTGTAGTGAGTGGTTTGGATGGAAGTAAAGACACCCTAGGACATAGAAAACACTTTGATTCAAGTGCTAGAAGTACAAAGGGTTGTATCTAAGGGTTGTAGGGCCTCACATTGGAGTTTACGTCCCACGGGTAAACCCCCATGAGTTTACGGCCCATGGTTTTACGGCCCTATGAGTTTACGGTCGTAAACTCATGGTATCTTGTACCATTTTGATGTTTAAGGTCCTATACTCATCTTGGAAGTGTTCTAGGCTTAGTTTCAAAGCTTAGGAAGGTGTTGTGGCAACTTTGCACCACAAACTAGGGTTTACGGCCAAGGGAGATTGCCTTGGCCGTAAACACCCTTTTGATCATGATTTCTTGATGTTTTCTAGATGTTTAACATGTGATTCTAGTATACAACAAGATAAGGGTAGTGTACTTTACGTTTTGAAGGCAAATGGGGGGTGTTTTCGGCCCAAAACACTTAAGTGTTCTTGGCGTTCTTGATGATCTTGAAGATCTAGACCCAATAAGATGAATTTGTGGATGAAATCAAGAGTAAAACAAGGAGAAGTGATGTATTAACACATAGATGGAATGATTTACTTACATTTTTGATGTTTGGAAGCAAAAACACTATGATCCTTGGGAGAGAAATCCGATTTCTAGGCTTGGAAGGGTGGAAAATGATTGAAAATGACTAAGGATCATATATATAGTATGGAGTTTACGGCCACCATGAGTTTACGGCCGTAAACTCATGGTCCTTGGCCGTAAACTCCTCTTTTGAGGGCTTATGGCTTGCTTGATAGGTTACAATTTCAATTGGCACTTCCATTTACTTATTCTTTTGATGTACTAAGCTCAGAATGCTCAAACAGACTCTAAACAGTGCTAAAAGTTAGCAGAAGCAAGTCTGACATTGATTGAAATGTAGGGTTTTGTACAAGATAGAAATTTCGGGTTGTCACAATATATATATATATATATATATATATATATATATATATATATATATATATATATATATATATATATATAGGTTTAGGTTCTATAGAAAACAAAAAACCCTAAAAATCATTAAAATGCATAAAAAAAATACTTAGAGATCACAAAACTTTTTTTTGAATTATTTTTTTCAAAAAATCGCAACTTTTAGGTCAAAATCGTTGAAAAAAAATTTTGAAAATTTTTTTTTTTACAAAAAAAAAATGATTTTTTATTTATTTTTTTTCAGCGAAATTGTAAAAAATGCTGCGATTTTTTGATAAAAAAATTCAAAATTTTTTTTTGTGATGTCTTGGTATTTTTTTATGCATTTTTATAATTTTTAGGGTTTTTTTAGGGTTTTTTTGTTTTCCAAATAACCCTTCCCTATATATATATATCTATATCTATATATATATATATATATATATATATATCTATATATATATATATATATATATATATATATATATATATATATATATATATGAACATAAATGTATGAATAATTGTTTCAATAAAGATTAGCTTTTGAATACAAACAAAGCTAAGCCATATACATTTATTATCATATGAATACTGGAATTCAATAGTTTTTTTATTATAAAAATATCTAGATTGTGACTGAATTATTCATATGTTAATAGAAGAAAATTATAGCTGGGATATATAAGTTATTCATAAATGAATATAACAGATGTATATATATTTATGTTGTTCCAAAACAAAACAACATAAAGGTATGGGTACTTGTTTCCATTCACATATGATTAGCTTTTGAATACAAACAAAGCTAAGCCATATATTTATTCATATATGAATACAAGAATTCAATAGTTTTTTTAATATAAAACATATACAGATTGAATTATTCATATGTTAATAGAAGAAAATTATAGGTGGGATATACAAGTTATTTATAAATTATAGCAGGGATATAAAAGATATGATATGTATTTTATACCTTTTTGATTTTTCTGCATTGATCGTGTTTCTCTCATTGTTGGTGAATCTTTATCGGAAATGTTAGTTTTCTTACCTTCATTCAATAGTGAGTAGAAGATAAATGAGTTTGATATTCACAAATGAATATTTGAATAAAACATATATATTCATGTTTTTTATTCACATATGAATATGTATGTTATATTCATATGTGAATAGAGCATATATAAGTCATTTTTGTTTTATTCATATTTGAATAATGTATATATGACAGCAAATTATGTTCTATTCATATGTGAATATAACATACATATTCACAAATGAATATTGAATAAAAAAACCATATATATATATATATATATATATATATATATATATATATATATATATATATATATATTCATACTTTTTATTCACATCTGAATATGTATGTTATATTCATATGTGAATAGAACATATATAAGTCATTTTTGTTGTATTCATATTTGAATTTTGTATATATGACAGCAAATTATGTTCTATTCATATATGAATATAACATACATATTCACAAATGAATATTTGAATAAAACATATATATATATATATATATATATATATATATATATATATATATATATATATATATATATACCATTATATAAACCATACATAATAATGTCTTAAGTACAAATTTTAAAGGCAAAGGTACAAAAAATTAAGCATGTTATCTTAAAATACAAGGAAAGTTGATCTGGACCGTTGAATATTATTTGAATGGTGGGGATTAAAAACACAGGACTGTCACACGGATTTCCAACGTGTTATAATCCAAGGCGGACAATTCAAATATTTTTGAGATCGAATTTTCATATGTCTGGAACCAAAATGGCGTTTATTTCTCTTTCTCGCTCGCTCCATTCAACATCAGGACAAACCATTCTTCCTGAAAACCTTAGCCGCTAGCAATCTCTCCTTCATTATGTCCTATGTTGGACCGCCAACAAATCCTTTGTTCATTGGTCATGTCTGGTTCTTAGAAGTTCCGATTCAGGTAAGAATCCTCTTCTTGATTTCCTTTATTTCTCTCTCTCTAAAAACACCGATTATCTCGAATTGTTCAGGTTATCATCTAAATCCCATCCCCACCTACGCAACGATTACAGTGGATTCAGAGATAACTTGCATCCCAACAACGATTAAACACCACTGCATCAATCGACTCCTTTTTCTTACTTCTTATTTGTTTGTATCCTCAAATGGAATCACAAATCAAAGCTTCCAAATCTAAGCTGGAGTTTTTGAGGTATAGATCGATTTTTTGAGTTTATATTTTGTTTTTTGGTAGTTTATTTTAACCCCTTTTTCTCCAAACCTCAATAGCAGGTCTTGAAGATATGGTTTTTTGAATAATAGCTTTCCCAGGTATGAAGATTCTGTATCGTTTAATCGATATGGGCCTCAGATTTGTCAATACACCTTGGTCTTTCTCGCTTTCTCCCTCTTTGTCTTTCGCTGAAAACCACCACCCTCTCTCTACAGGTATAGGTTTAATTTTATGTTTGTGTGGATTTAGTGCATTTGGGTCTAGATCTCTATATATGTATGATTAACTGTGCATGTATGTTTAATTATGTGTGTATGTCGATTTCGTAGGTCTGCACATCAGCCTCTTTTTGGGCAAGAGACGCCTCAATCAGAGAGAAATCATGGTAAGCTTGCCTTTAACATATTTTTTTAACGATAATGGTCTGTTTGTTTACCGATTTTGCTGTGGTTTTCAGTTTTATGTGCTAGGAATCAAAAGAAACTTCAATTCTTCCAAGATTTTGCTGGAAAGGTTTTTTTTTTTACTTGGTTTCATTTTGTTGTTCTGTATGTTAACCGATATTTGACCCAAATCCAAATAATTGGAACTTCAGTCAATATCAAATAACTAGAATTTCAGTCAAAATGATTTGAATGGTCTGAAATTAGGGCTCTTACAAAGAAAATGAGGACGCAAGGTTCAGCCCCAAAACAGCTTATTGTGCCTTCGTTGTTGTTACCATCAGAATACACATACCAAGATGACACCTTCAATTTATTTCATTTTGTGTGGTTGTAATTTATTTTAAATATTTGAATTATACATAAATCATTCAACATGCTAACTGATATAGTCTTTTGTATGGGTTTTTAGGTGATGAATGGATGTTGTTCTGATTTGATCTTCATTGATGGATTTCTTCTCTAGATCTAATTATTGGTATATTACTTTTGAATACAAATGTTTTCTTCTGAAGAACTTAAGTCTAGAATCTTAGGACCTGGAAAGTGGAAACCTGAATACATGAAGGATCTGAATTATGTGTGTGCTTAACAGATGAACTTGAAATTGGAGGTTTGAAGAAGGTTGGAGACGATGGTAGAAAAAAATGCGATGCAGAGGTATGTGTAGGTGTCCATGTATGTGTGTGTGTATATGTTTGTATGTGTTTGTCTGTATCTATATGTAGGTGTATGTATGTATGTGTGTGTTTCTGTATCTATACGTATGTGTATCTAATGTTGATGTTTATAAGTACTACATAGGAAGAAGAAATGATAATGAAAAGATGTGACAACCACCACATTTGACCAGAAGGTGAGCTTTTTACTCATTACTGTTCCATCTTGTGGTTTTGATTCTACTGGTATGTGTAATTTGTAGACATTTTATGTCCTTTTTTTCATTTTAAAGTATGTAAATTTACTTTTGATCAATTGTATTACTATTTGATTTCACATATATGCGAATATTGTTGATGGGTTTTTTATTTCTAAGTTGATACCCCTTTTATTTGTCTTTTCTTAGACCTTCAACATATTTGTTTTCTTTGAATCTTGATTTGTTCATTTGCTTTAGAAGGACTCCAAATTTCATGTTGATCACAACTAAGATGAAAAGGCATATTATTATTCACAGGCGGTTATAAGTTATATGTTCCAATTTTTTACTTCGGATTCAATGCTAATAGATATGCTAAAATCAAGATTATCATGGTTGGATCTGTAGGTGTAGATGTGGATACCGTTGCCAGGATGCCATTGATGTTGTTATTGTTATTATGCTTGTTGATCCCAATTCAATGAGTCATCTATGCAAAATCCAGTTGTTTCACAGACAATTCATAATCTACTTCAAACCCAGGGAACATGAATGAGGTACTTATTTTACTCATGTTTCTTTTTTCTTTTTTGTGAGGTTGTGTAGTTACTAAAAATATTTATTGTTTTTAGATACTCGCGATGAATCCACCGATGTGAATATGCTTGAATCAAACCCACAAAGGTGAATGCTCTGTTAGCATTTCTTAAATCTTATTTGAACTTTGGACAGTTTTTTTATCATATCTGTTGAGTTGTTCCATATTTTTGTTGAAACTTTCTACCGGATTGACATGAAAGCGTTCACTAAAGAAGCATGTTGGTTAGGTTATATTAACATGTTTAATTGTAAAGTATAATTTACATAATGAAATAGAATAAAAATTATGGCCTTGATTGCTTTTTCCATTACATTGATACCATCAAAACTGTTTATGGCCATTTAATGGTCTAAATATTTTTTTGCAATACATTCTCGTCAAAGTTCCAGTGTTCTCAAATCAAATGCAAGATCATAGTTTTCATAATTTGTAATTTTTTTTAAACCAATAATGATTTGTTGTGTGTTTGGACTAAAAAGTTGATTGATCATATTAAATTTATAAGGAGAAAAGCAAATAATACAAAAAAATTTGAATTTATTGTTGGGGGCTTACTTCTTCCTGTTTTGCAGATTGAAATATGAAAGACGACAAAGAAATAAAGTTGACGATGTTCTTTTTTTTAATTATGTGATTTATTGTTTTTAATTTCTATTCAATTTTTGTGAAATTTTTGTTTTTCTTTTTAAATTATGTGAATTATGTTTTTTTTTCCTTTTCAGTTTATATGAAACTATAAGCATATTTGAGTTGATAGATTATGTTAAAACTTTTCCCAAAAAATATCCATTACAAAAATTATTAAAGAAAATTTATCAATTACCAAAGAAATTTTAATTACCAAGGAAAGTTATGAATGATAGTTTTTCATTAGTTATTTTAACTTAATAATATTAGATTTTTTTTTTCAAAACCTTTTAACGATTTGAGTCTAAATTGTAGTTTTTCATAAAATGTTTAATTAACCCATTAGATTTTAATCTCAAGTTGAGTTTTTCTGTCTAAATGATAGTTTTTCATAAGACATTTAGTCAACCCCTTAGATAAAGTTGATTTTTTGAACGAAATATATAGTTATTAGGAATTTAATCAAACGATTAAAATTTTAACTTCATGTTTTAGTCAAACCATACCTATTTCCACAAATATAAATCTTAATATCTACAACATACAAAAAATCAAAGTAGTAAGTTGTGTTTTATAAAACAAATCAAATAAATAATCATCTTATTTATATCAATTAATCTTTTATTAAAATAAGGATTGCTTTCATAAAATTTGAAACAAAGTAGTCATTTTAGTATATTACCTCTACCTAATATTAGTTATGTCTATTTTTATTTTATAAATGATTTCCAATATATTTTTATTTTTATTTTGATCCGCTAACGTACTTATATTTATAAGCCGGAATGATCTATGAAAATTATTAAAGGTAACTAATCAGTGCCGAAAAATATTCGCCAAAAAAACTATTTGTCGCCGCTGCATCTTGAAACCATCTGTCGGAAGGGAATGAATATCCATCCAGAAACCATTAGCCAAAAATAAACTATTCATCTAATCGTCGTCCGCTAGCAGATAAAGAGTAATAGACGGAAATTAGTACTTGTTGCCCCTCTAGAGATAGCTGATTATCGAAAGGAAACAATTTGACGATCGCCGAAATGACACTTTCGTTCGGAAACAAATCGCCGGAATAAAACAAATCGCCGCCGCCGCATCGCGCGGGTACGCTATATATATATATATATATATATATATATATATATATATATATATATATATATATTATATATATATTATATATATATATATATATATATATATTCATATTTTTTATTCACATATGAATTTGTATGTTTTATTCATATGTGAATAGAACATATATAAGTCATTTTTGTTGTATTCATATTTGAATATTAGTTTTTCTTGTGTTCAGAAGTAAACAAAACACATCTAAGTTAATCAGATCTTAATGGAATAACTATTTTATTTACCTTTTTGATTTGTTTTTGTTTTTCGTTTATATATATGCTTCATTGTTGGTGTTGTTTCTGTAATGGTAAGTAGTTAATATTAGGAAAACGTAAGCGAAATGTGAAGTAACGTTTATATTTTGACAGAAAGTTGTGAATAAGTATGAAAAATGAAGAGAAGATGTAAAATCATTTGTATATCAATTAATAATGGATGATTCTTACAAAAATTTCAAGTAAATCAAGTAATAACGAGGGAGGGTTACGAGAATGAACGATTATCACAAAATTTGAAGTAAACAATCTAGTTTGAAGAATGAACAGTGTAAAAACAAAATTTTTAGTTATAAATCAAGTAATAATGAACGAAGATTACGAAAAATTTCAAGCAATCAAGTGATAATTTTAGAAATTATTAGAAATCGTTAAAAATTGAAGAAAAAAACGCCGATGGTTACCTTTCATAGTCAAGAGTGAGGAAATGGTTTCGTTCATGTTTTCATCGGAAGACATTTTTCTTCGTTTTTACTCTTATCGATGTTGAGAATCGTTTACGTTACTGAATGTTTCTGCAAATGGTTTTTGTGTTATGGGGTATCGAAGAGGGAAATGATGGTTTTCTGTCGAAATTTGATGTGTGATGAAATTACTCAAGTGCCCTAACGGTTTAATGTTTTTGGGTTATTTACAAATTTGTCACCGCTCATTAATATATTTGGATTATTTACAAGTTTGCCACCGCGCGTTTTTTTAGCTAATTAAATGATTGGCTAAGAATGGTTCCCCCATTCTCAACCTTTTTTTTTCTCGATTGAACCCTCCTCTCCTCTCTCTCTCTCTCTCTCTCTCTCTCTCTATATATATTATATATATATATATATATATATATATACTAGGTTTAAACCCGTGGAACTCCACGGTTGATAAATTGAAATAGAATTATACTTTTGATAGTGTAATAAAAAAAGATATCAAATTTTAGAAATAATGAAGAATAATGATATTATAATTAATATGAATAAATCAAATACAATAAAGTATTATAAATTCCCAAAAACGTCCTTATAAACGACATTGGAAGTTTTATTTGTGAGAGTATCATATTTATCTAAAATTAACAATTTTAATCCGTCCCTGCTTTGAACTCTAGGTTTAAATCCGTGAAACCACGATTGACAAAAAGAAATTCAGTTTTTATAATTCGAAATCGGTAATGACTAATCAAATATTTGCAAAAAAATTATTAATTTACAAGAATAGAAGTTTGGTTAGTAAGTTTATAATATTGTTTTAAAATAAATATATAATCTATTATGAATATCAAATTTACGTTTTGTAAATTTAGATATTTAATAAAATCATGAGTTTGTAAGATGTAATATACATTTGAGTATAGTGAAAAAAAAAACAATAAATCATGGAAATGAGATTAAATTATTGAAATAACATTGATATGTTGATATATGACAAGTTAAACATGACAGTAATATAATAAACATATATGAACACAAAACTGAAAATAATAATCTTGTACAATAAAATATACAATGTAATGCAATGTACTTTCTTTGGGTCAAGACTAATGATAAAATAAGCATATTGTACAATGAAATATACAATGTAGTAGAATGAAAGTAAGGAAAAATATAAGAAACATATATGAATACAAAATTAAAAAAATAAATTATTAATGGGACAAAGTGAAAGACCAGTAAAATACAAAATATAAATTTTATATACTGGTATAGAAAAATGAATTTAGCAAGAAACATATACATCACAGAAATACACACACAAATACATGTAATATTTATAATATTTAATATAAATGGATAAATATATAAAATGATTATAAAAAATATATCCATATAACAACAATTACAAATAATTATTTGGCTTGTGTTTTAAGTTATGTTATTTTTCTCTTTTAAATTATATAAAAAAGATATAGAAAATGGTGAAAGCACATTCATTCACGAAAACATAAATTGTTATTTGATTTATCAACCAATTATAAAATATATAAAAAAGAAAAAAAATAATATTAATGGGTTTTAGATTTGGTTATTTTAAATAGTAAAATAAGTAAATAAAAGAAGAAAAAAAGGAAATCAAAACCTGCTTGCCTCATGTTCCATTGGAAGCAGTGAATAAGAACATAAAACAAAAAAAAAAGTGCTTGTGTGTATCGTGTGTTTCATATACGATCAGAAAAAAAAAAAAAAAAAAGAGGAAGGGGAAGCCAAAGTCAGGCTCCTCATCGAAAAAGATGGTTGCGAAGCAACACGGAAACCCCTTGTCCCTCCTCTATGTGGTGCTTGATGGAGGACTGAAACCGAGAAATAAAAGCAAGAGCAGTGGTGAGGGGTGGTCGTTGGGGATGTTACAGCCGACCAGTAGCGGTGTCGTTGGTCCAGATGAGGCTGGTGGTGGTCGGACTCCATTTTTTCTCAATCTTAAATCTCCAATTCCTGTCATGGATTCAGTTCATGGAAGGTAATTTTGAACACATATCATTTACAGAAACAACACCATTTATGCATTGTACTTTTAAAACAATGTTGAATTTCTAATTTTAATTCGTATTTGCAGGTCTCACTAAAAATGTTTTCATGAAAAACATATTCAAATAAGATGCATAAAGGATTATCTTATTCAAAACGGATTAACCAGGTGTGTTTTATCTCGACAGCTGTGATAATTATTTTTATGTCCCTGATCTTATACATTATAGACTATATTATAGAGTATGATTATGAAGCAAATAAAGGAGAAGATGAGTACCTGATTGAGTATGCAGTCCACAAAAAAAACATCGATGAGTATACCTGGAGATATGAGAAACAGAAAGCAAACACCAGTGATGAAATCGATTATGAATGTGGATGAAAAAATAACATGTAAAAGGTAAAGAACATTGTAGTCTTCTTAACCCGATGATGAAAATCGATCTATGAAATTGTGTTGAAACAGAAACGTAAAGACGAAAGAAAAGATGTATATATAATCGATATTAATTATGTTATTGTTATTTTAAAGAAATTTAATCATTTCCCTGATTTATTGCCATTGATACCGTATGGTAATCAAACAGTAGATACGGTAAATCATTAGATAGAGATGTATAAATTTAAAACTCATTTTTCTCCAGAATTGTAGGAGATATATATGGTATAATTGAAAAAAAAATGAAAGTTGGC